CTGCAAGAGAAAGTCTGTGTGCATGTGAATAGTAAATTAATGGGGAAAAAAGTCATATGAACAGGCCTGCATAAATTATTGCAGCATGACTACAGGCATTTTTTTATGCAAACAAAACAAAAAAACACCTTTTACTAAACTTAACAATTGTGGATTTTTTATAAACAAACCAAGCTGAACATTAATAGATACCCAAAAAAAAAGAAAAGAAAAAGAAATATTTTGGGTCAAGCAGGCATTGGGAGGAGAGGTGAATCCAGCTGCTTGGAGGTTAATCCCACTGTAACAGTGGATTATTTTCTGTAAGTGGAGGAGGTGGATAGGAGCTACAAAGTCAGCTTTTTCAGTTAATATGATTAATATTTAATGTTTAACTTTATCTTTTGTTATTTTCATTGCACTATAAATAATATTCATTGCACTATAAATAATATTCACCATTGCTTTTATTTTTTTAATGGTTATTACAATTAATACTTTACCAATTAACAATTAACACTTTACCAATTTATATGGAGCATATCAAAACCTGTTTGTACTTCTTATTCCATTGCACTTACTCTTTGCAAAACACACATAACATGGTCACTAACTGCACTTATTGTTATATATTTCTTTCGTTCTTATTAGGATTCTTTGAAGATCAGTTTCTAAAGGAGAATGTCTGGGCGTTAGTTCACAATCTAAGTTGGATTTGGGTTATGCAGTACTTCAATGTTTATAGGCACATTGGACCTGTGACTAGGTAAAAAAAATAGTGAATGTTGTTGGAGTGGCCTATTCAAAGTCATGACTTAAATCTGATGAAGATGCTGTAACATGACCTTAAACAGGCCAGTCATCCTCCAAACTCTTTATCTCTGCCAATAACATCACAACTAGGGGCAGATATTCTTCTACATAGAGTCAGGTTACTTTGGATTGCTCTTTAATGAATAAGATCATTATCTGAAAACTGCATTTTGGTGTTTGTTCAGCTATCCTTAGTTTAATGAAAAACTCTGTCAAAAACATCTGAAACATTTAACTCATAAAAGGCAAAGCAGAGGACTCTTTTTTGTTCACAGTACTGCAAGTAGACTAGAGATGATAGAAAACATGCCGACGAGACAAAACAAAACAGTGTTCATTAATGGCAATCCTTTTTGCAATCTGTGGCATCCTCGTTCCAAAACTTGTCTTTACGTTTTCTTCTTTGTAACATCTCTACATTAAAACGATAATCTGAGAATCGTTGTGGATGTAGAAGTTTGAATCCAACATAAAAACAGGCAAAATCAAGTTACAGCCAAAAGCCAATAACATTGTATATACAGAATGCAACATGTTTGACTCTGAGCCATGAGTCTTCCTTCTACAAATAGATGCCTGTCCACCAGATGTGACTTTAGAAGTAAGCAGTGAGTTTGTAACTTTCTTATAAAGAATGTCAGTACCCTGCAGTGATGAAATATAAAGTAAGTAAGCTCCATGCTGAGAAAAGTAGTACAGCTTGGGAATTTAGCACATCCCGAGATGCTTTGCCATCCCTGTGGGCCCTCTACACCAGAAGGAGAAAAAAAAGGTCGGAGAAGGTCACAGGTAAGGAAAGTTGTACTCACAACTCCAGGTATTTCACACGCAGTCTCTCTCATGTTCTGCGCAGGGTCACAGTAAATGCGAAGTTTCTGAATTTCAAACTAAACATAAAGGAAAATGTAAAGAAAAACACTGTGTCAAATAAAAAATTTTTACTGTTGAGGATTTAAAAAAAGCAAAATAAGCTGATTGTGTAACTTTAGGCTGAGTTTTATCCATTCACAGCCACCAGTGAATTAAACTTACCATTTTACTAGAAAAAAGAGAAAAAAATAAGTGCCCTCACTGGGCACTGGGTTGCTCCATGTTGCCAGACCTCCCTAGCTGTTCAAGCAGCATTACACTTTTCTTCCATGATTTGGTATTGGACGATGCTGGTGGTAAAAGGGCTCCAGCAAATCTGTTTCATATTAGCCTCATGTGAACAGAAACATGATCCTCGGGCAAGATTTGGATCATTTCTAGCCTCATAAAAAACACACGGCTGTCTAATTACTGATGTAAATCAGTCTGATATAAAACAACGGTAGTTGTGCAACAGATAAGACTGACTAGTCATACTGAAACACAAGGTCTCTGTTTGCCAATGTTATGTGGATCCAAAGGATGCCTAATGTATAAAAAAATTATGTCTAATAATGGAATGATTAAATGACTATTTTACTTTGCTAAAACTCTCCTTATGGATTTACATTCATGATGTCAAATGGCTTGATTCAGTCCTATTCATCATTTACCACAACTTTAAGTGTCAAAATTAGGTCAATCTTAAACAGTTTACTGCTGTGATGCAGTAAATATACACTTGCTGCAACTAAGCAAATTGCTGTGTGCTGCTCTGTAAACAGTCAAAAAACTTTTTTGGGATATACTGTATATTGTTAAATGATATTAATGAAACAGCTCATTCAGTACAAAGAGCTTGCAGACAAAACATTAGATTAGCAATCAGTAACAAAAAGTAATCAATTTAAAAGTGATGAGGATACCCTTACCGGTACAGTTGCTTCCTTATTTACATATTTTCCAACTTGGGTTTTTCCATTGATGAAAATCCCAACAGAGGGCTCAAGTGGTTGTGTTTCAATTTCCATGTTGTCAACATAAAGAGTTACATCCTCTTCAGTTACCAGTAGCCGCAGCTGGTGCCATTTTTCATCAAACAGCATCTTTTATCAGACAAAACAAACAGACAGCAGTTAGTTTACTGGCTGGTTGTGACAACCTGATAGATAGATAAATAAAAGCAGCACACATTGATCTAATGCTACTGAGAAACCAAGGTACTCATGGCAAGCTGAATTTCGTTGCTATGTGACGTCTTTAAAGGCAGAATTAAACAGATTAGGTTAAAAATTGTATTACTTATATTACAAATTCCCATATATTTGGATAAATCAATCATTTAGAGAGCTTCAAGAGAAAGTGAAACCAGTAAATAACATCCCTCCCTCTGTCTGTACACACAGCCTTACCCTAACCATCTTGGGGTGCCCGAGGAGCAGTGTGGGGTTAAGGATCTTTGCTCGGGGACCCAGAGTGGCAGTCTGTGGGAGTGGGGCTCTAACTCAGAACATCAGGATTCCAAGCCCTTTGTCCTAAACACTTAGCCACCACTCCCTGCATATATATAGCCATGCTAGTCTCTTTTAGGGCAAAGCACAGACATACAACCATTCGCACACAGTCACACCTAAGGACAACATATAGTTTTTGGACTGTGTAAGGATTTATACTACATAGAGAACTACAAACTCCGTTCAAAAAGAAAGACCTAATTTATATATATATATATATATATATATATATATATATATATATATATATATACATTATATACTGTCAAAAAGTATATAATGTAGATTATGCCCATACAAATGAATTCCACCATTTCACGTGGCTCCTTTATAACATCACTTTGTTAATATAGAAATACAGGTCTGATGTTATCTAGAATATAGTTATCACTTACACTTTGTTAAGGTTTAAATTCTTTAAATCCTTAAAAAGCATGGGTTATAATAAAAAAAAAAAAAAGGTGTGAGACTTTATCAAGTCTGTATGGGGTCAAACAGGTCCATAAGATAATGGAACTTCCAGTGAATAAAAACAGATTAAAATGTCAACACTTGCATACAGCATTACAAATGTGATAGTTATTTTTATGAATGTAATACATGTACTCATAGAAAGGAGGTCTTCAAGCCAAGCTCTTAAAGAGTCTTAGAGTGTAGAGATTTTAGATACATTGCCACAAAAGTTGGTTTACTTTGCATTCAGACCCAAGGCCACAAAAAACGAACAGACCAGGAGGATTTTATTTGGAGACTTCGCTGTTTTGTGATGGCAAGTTGTTGATTTTGTGGCCAGCAACAGCATCACTAAAGCCACACACAATCAACATGTGTAAAATGTGTAAAATGCAAATTATTTCCTCTACCTATGTTTTTATCTTTTCTACAGCTTTAGGTCAATAAAGTGTAACATACACTATAGTAACCATGAATTGTATTATGTGTCAACTGGAACTGCACAGCCAAGAAAATTTCTAAGAAATTAGCAAAAACAAAAATCAATGGAGTAACTTTTTACTTTACGCAAAGTAAAGTCATTGCATGAATGTGAACAAAAGAAATCGTTTTTTGTTCTTAAAGCTTCCTACGATGTACTATACAGTATATATAAAATATCTTGGCAGAGAGAGGAACACCACACAAAGATAAGCGACCCTTTTAAGTGCTCTTCATCAATGTCAACTATACAAAAGCAGAATAAACAATTTTTTTTTCACAGCAACTTTAGCTTTGTATGTGTTGTCTGTCAGCACAAAATACTGTATCTAGTGACATCTGCAGTTATCAAGAGAAGCATTTACTGCTATTTCCAGACTTTTCTCTACCATGATCGTACCTATGGAGAATAATTAAGTGGAGCAGCAATTTATACTTTAAAACTATTGGAGCAACAAATGAAGAGCATGTAAACTGCATCTGCTCTCTGATTGTTTGACTGTTTCATGAGTCTGAAGGTGCTCTTCAGGATCAGAAAACTTGTGAAACAACTACCTGTAGACATAATAATTAAAGGCTCGATGATTGGAATCATAGGGTACTTTTAAACATGCATTTATGGCATCCCTTGACTTTAGTTTAATGAAAGGTCCACCAATATAGGGGTGATTGAGGGTTAATTAACCCTTGTAAAGGTGAGTTCGCAGTGACCCAAGGTATATATCTTGGCTTCCTTACAAAAATAGCATTATACTGAACATAGCTACACTGTGTCGAATCTTAGTTTTTTTAAACTATAAAAACTGAATTTAACTCTGTCTATCTGATTGGATTGACTTGATTATACTCATTCTTCTAGTGTAAAAATAACATTATTCTATTTTACACATCCACTGTAATGCTTGTCAAGTAAAAAAACCTAAAGACATGCTTTATTTAAATAACATTTTTAATCTGAAACAGAGCTGTCAGGTTGTGCAGAAGTTTTTAGAAGACCCAAATGCAGAGACAGAAGCTGAGGTGGTTTATTGGATTTAATTTAATAAGGACTGGTGGCAACAGAAGCATAAATCCAAAAATAATTAATCAAGGAATAAAGTGGGCCAAAGTGGGTTAAAGAGGGAATGAAAACAATCCAGGCCTGAGTAACTCTAGAAGAGGAGAATAAATGCTAAACAGAGCCAAAAATTGAAAAATCAACTAACTGGAAGCAGGTGTGGACAGAAGGATCTAGAAGGGAGTTAGGAGAAGGAGACTGACACAAGGGGGCAACAGAGAGTAAACCAGAAATATATAAGACCTCAAATACAACCAGAAATCAACTAGAAGAACACAAAATGGAAAGGAAAAAAATGACCTAGAAAACACAGAAACACATTAATAAAAGTGTAACTGAAAAGGAAAACTTAAACAGAACCAAAAAGTACAGAATCATGACAAGAGCCAACACTAATGACTAAGCATATATTCTCTGACAACAAGGAGTTCCTAAAGACACATGGAGTAAACAGCTTTTATCATTTTAGACTTTCTCATGCATTTAAATCTAACCAAAAAACACATTTCAGAGGAAGCTTACCCTTGCTGTCTGCTGTGAAAATTTAACAGTTTGAATTCCGCTTGGTGCATTGCTGGTTGTCGTGAACATGACAGTATTATCTAGACCATCAAGAGTGACTGCCATCTGAGGCTCTCCGTCAAGGGTCTGTATTCTCCACAGGTCCCACTTCTCTGTGGCTACAGATCCTTTATACCTCAATGTAGCCACAAACACATATGATGGGGGGAGACCATCAGGAAAAAGGCTCCTGTGTAACCAGAAAGAGAATGAAGTTTACTGTTAAATTTACCAAAGTTGGAAAAGGGACTTAGAGTGTTACTGTGATTACCTTGTAGCCTCACTCAAGTCAACAGCAGATGTGACTTCATATGCCTTATTAACAAAAAGAGATCCTTGTGTCTTTTTTGCTTTTTTAGCCAAATTTAAATTTAAGAGAATATCAAAGCCCTTCTCATCCCGTGAATCTGTTGGAATTTTTGCTGGACAAACAGTTTCTGTAACAAGAAAAACCTATTAAATGATAAAGAACTAATGTGAAAATGGATTGGAATCAGCTAACCAGGAGCCTCTTACCTTCACATAGTTTCTGGCGTATGACCTGTATAATCCTGGAAATTGCTTTATAGTCCTCAACAGAGAACACGTACGTTGAAGAAGGTTTATTTGCAATGTCCCTCAACTCATCCTGCTCTGTCTCGGGTCCAACTCCAATTGCAAAGAGAATCACCCCTTTTTTTCTTGCTGCCTCAGCTGCTTTCAGGACCTCATCTTGAGATTTCCCATCTGTGAGGACAACAGCAATTCTCGAAATTCCTGCTGGACCCCGTTCAGAAAGTCCAAACAACTTATCAGTTGCAAACTTGATGGCTGTCCCTGTCCTTGTGTTTCCTCCCATGTACTCTATATTCTCCATCGCTCTGATGAGGTCTTTCTTTGAGGAGAACTTCCCCAGAGGTATTTCTAAAACTGGGTCGTCACTATACTGGACCACACCAACCTGAGTAAACTTCTGTCCAATGTTGAAGCTGGTTGTTATGTTGACAAGCCATCCCTTTACAATTTCAAAGTTGATATCTACAACGCTCCATGAGCCATCTAAAATGAAGACTAGATCAGATGGTGCGGTCCGGCAGCCTAACAAAAGAAGGAGAACAGGACAAAATAAAAACATGTGGCATCAAAATGTCTACTTACCTTATTTAAGGGACATGGATAAGTATATCTTGATGCAACAGAAATAAAGTAGAAGTTCACTTACTTCTTAAGTCTTCATTTTGAGCTGCACTGATCAAAGATAGAAGCACAAAGCTCAGGCAACTTAGGATCCAGTTCATGGAGGATACTTTGTAAACCATCATACAGCTGTCTTGATTTTTTCAACAGGGAACCTACAGGAATAAAAAAAAATCAAGACTTATTTTTAAGAAATGTATGACTTGACATATACTAGATTAGTTTGAGTTTGAAAGGATTATGAGTTTGAAAGGAAAAAGACATTAGACATGTCACTTTTAAGTGGGTAGTATCAGGGACAACTTGATCCCATTCTAGGGATCTGCTCAAACTTCCAGATCATGGCATTTGTGAATGACCAGTATAAAAAACAATTAGAGACTCAATTTGTGATACATGTCAGTCATCTGTTTACAACAATTGGCCAATTTTTAACCAGCAGTTGTGATGCTCACAGTTTCCAAAAGTGTAGTATAGTTTGGGGACGTTATTCTCCAAATCTAATCTGGGTTTTTATCTTAACTTTAGTTCCTTCATCTAAACATGTACACAACACCTTCTGATCAGCTAGAATGTACTAACATTTACAAGTGAGCGGAAAACAATGCTATACTGTACCATTATGCACCTCAGGAGGCTGCATAAAACCCAATAGCAATATAAACCGTAAGGGGTATTATGGGATTGCAGAACAAGCATGCTGTGCTGACAAAGTAAAGATTTCTCTATGAGCACCATGAGCAGATAGCCAAAGCATCCTGTATGATCCTGAATGTATTCTGAGATATATTTTGGTCTGTATAATTTAATAATAAGAAAATCACACAGAACAAATTGGCTGCATTTAAAGCACTAAATGCATTTAACAAAGAACGGGTCTCATTCAATGAAGGGGGAGAACAGCTTTTTTCAGTGAGTTCTCTCATCATGAATTACTAGAACCTTACTGAAATATGCTGCAAGCTGAATAATTTAGAATTTGTATCAAAACATAGAATAAAGGTGCCTGTAAAAGCCTCGCTATAACAAGTCATATTAAAATCCATTATCACTGCCTTGCATATAGAGCTTAGTAAAAACACTGCAAAAACATCTTCTCTTGTGTTTCTTTTTGGTTCAATCATAACTCTAATACTAAAACTCCTGTTAAATCAGTTTAACAACAAACAGTTTTATATCTAATTGTTTATTCATACTCATGGTGTAAGAACCACATTTCAAGCCAGGCATGGTGGTGTGTTTATCAAATACACTAAAGGAACTTAAGTTGCAGACAAGAAAGAGGAGCTTTGTAGTGAAGAGTTGGCTTAACATATCGAGGAGATTCCTATAAGCCAAACATGGTTCCCTGAGACAGGCTTGGGTAGATGACAGGCAGGCAGCAAGCCATGGGCAAGTAAATCCAAAAGAAAAGGCCAGGTCAAAGTCACAACAACAGTCAAGGAATTGCCCAGAAATGGCAACAGAGTGCAGAGCAAGCCACCAGCTGACAGTAGAAGACCTGGATAGGAGGGCAGATTAACAGGAGCAGAGGATTTTCCTGATTGAGTAATTGGGAAAGGTCTAGTCCATGGTCCTGATTAGTTAGTGATGCAGGAGCAGACAATACAAACAGCCAGGCCAAAGGATGACACATAGGCATTTAGAGCAATAAAAAAACATTGTCCTTCACATAATCCCAAACCTTGTTGTAAAGGATATTTTTTTCCGTGTGCCATATTCTATGTTCTGTTCCATCCTTATGAAAATGTATTAGATAATTTCATCTCAAGTGTCCTCGAAATATTTAGTCAGTCTTTAGTTGTTGAGATTAAGTCTCTATCTCACTGTTCTCACAGCTTTATTATGACTTTTCAGAAACCTTAGTAGCTTTTATCCCCTATGTTCTCACATTTCTTCAGGATCTATTACATTCACACTAAACCGTATCTTCCCAGGCTCTGTTCAGCATGCCTCTAGCATAATTCACCACAAACTCATATGGCACTGCCTGCATTCAAACTAACAGCTCATAATCTCATTCAAGAGTATCAGCTGTTTCCTGAAATCACTGTATGTCTTTTGACCAGATGCAATACATTGCTATAAGAAAACATCACCCCTACACTTTACTTGTTGGATCTGGCCTTAGGAATTGAATATCAATTGCAGTTTGCAGTAAGGTTTTCATTTTTCTATTAAGACATCAATTTCGAAATGTTGGCTTTGAAACATTTTCTGCTTATAATTCCGCACTGTTTTTCATCAGAACCTGATTATTTCGATCATATATTCTTTGAAGTAAATTAATGGCTTGCACTGAAGGCTCACAAGAGAAAAAATGTGTAATGTTTGATGTTGTTTCACCCATCCATATAAACCCTATGCATATTGCTAAGTTCTTTGAGTGGCCCAGCTTCATCCTTAAGTCAAAAACTTATTATATAGGGGCAGAATAAGGTTATGCTCCTACTTATGCCACTGTCAACTTTGGAATTTCATTTAGAACAGAAATCATAAAAATCAGTGAGTAATGAGTCTAGTTTTACCATCCCGCAATCTTGCAACCAAATTATTGAGGTTGATTTTATGTGAAAAATAATTATGTCTGTAAATAATAATGCTCCTGCCAAATTCATGAGTCAGAGAGTAAACCCCTTTAATTCATTTCTTCATTTTTAGATCTTGTTAACATACTTTGAAATAAAAGGTATTCAGGTAAAGACTGACCTCTGGCTACAGAAAGTCTCTGAATTCAGGACATACTAAGTATGTTAAGACAATGGATGGAAAAATCAACAGGTAACCATACAAACTGTATTAAACAAATAATTTAAAATCATCAACATTGCCAATCATTAAAGAGTTATTGGATAATTTGTCATAATTGCAGATCAACCTGAAAATGTGTGTTTTGCTTTGGACTTTGTAAAATATTAGGGTCAGACCCAAAGGGTCGTCTTAAAATTCAGGCAGACACCTAAGTAAATAATTATACTACCAGAGTTGGCCCCAATATTTTATAAGTCTGACTCATGACTTGCCTCAAATCACTTGATGTTAAAATAAAAATAAATGACTTTCAAGAAAAACATTACACATGGCACAAAGCAGTGTGGACAGCATATTAAAAATAAAACATTTTATGTATATGATTACTGAATACTCTGTTATCACTAGATATGTTGCAAAGAACATGTGTAATAATAATGGAAAGTACTGTAGAGAGTCATGTCAGCTGAAAGCAATTATTCTAAAAGTTCTTTGTTTGGCAGTATATTTTATACTAGTTTCCAGTTTGTGAAACTGCTGACGTCCCTGAAAGAAAGCATTTGTAAATGAGGACCAGATACACCACACAGCATAGAACGCAGAGTAAGGAATGTTACTCGGGAAAGTCAGCATCCCCTTTATCACTGCTTTAGATGATGGCACACGTATGTCTCCAGCCAACAGTGACCAGGATACAACCCTTGGCCTCCCAAAATCCTGTAAGTCCAGCCAAACTGGGGTTATTCTTCAACATGACAGCATTTTTCCACCATGTAAACCAAGTATGGAAGCAACACAGTTTGAGGGGGTGGTCAGCTGCTGTAGTTGTGTAAGTCGTTTCCCCTGAATTTCTTTTCCCCACAGGAGACTGGAGGAGGCTGTTGGAAAACCCCCTCACTGGCATCCTCCAGTTGCTGGGATGAGTTTCTCCACAACTGACTTTCCCCAAACCAAGCGCTTCTGCTTAAGCCAGATGGTATTAATTTAATGTAAGATTCCTACTGCTGACAGTGACCAAACATATGTAGCCATGGTAAACGGCATCATATTCCATCCAATAGTGATAATAAAAAATGCAACACTGCAGGTGCAGAATTTTAATGCATACAGTTAAACCATGCGCAAGGCTCTCCCTACAATTGGCAGGCAAATTTACAATGCAGATTTTAACCTTAGAAAATCTATCACACCAGCTTTCAGTAAATGCAACAACTGCTGAATTAAACAGCAACTCATTGTACATTCTGTTGTATGTGTGACACAAAACTTTAATGATAATTTTTTTCTGTGGTAGCAGTTTTGTTTTAGCTAAGGATGTAATTCAGGTAACATCAGAAAAAATTACTTCTTCGTATAAATGTTAATGTTTTTATTATGGGTGAGACCAAATTATCCCACTGACTGCAGCAGACATGAAATTTAGTTCCACTTGACACAGTAACTTTAATACAACCTTTGTAAAAGGAAAGTGCCAAGTATCGAAACTGATTTTCCTGTTATGCAACTGAGGATTTGAACTTTGTTTGGACTGCTAAAGTAACACATATCTGCAGTAAACTTGGCAAAAGGAAGATGTTTCATTCCAGAAGCAACAACTGCTGTTCAGCATGAGGAGTCCTGGCCAAGACCAAGGGGGATTTAATACTGCCAGATCTGTTCAACATATCCGAACAGTGCCATGTGAAAGAATATCTTGTCGAGTTCTTGGCTTCTTTTTCTCAAACATATTTACATTTCCATGTTTTCTGTTGTATAAAATGTTAGTCTTGCACACACAGATTTCTTGTATGAAAACAATAAAACTGATAGTAGTCATGCAATGACGTGGTGCAATAATCAGCATTTTTTTTTTTTTTTTTGCAAAAAATAAATTAAGCAATTCCAAGAAATTCAGCAACGATGAAAAATATTCAGCTGATTTAACTCATTCCATGGTGATGGAATGAGAGAAAACATACAGAATATATTCTGTATGTCTCCTGGGAGTGTTGCAATAGCTTTGCAGAATCTAAAAAAAAAGTATACATGGGTATACATCTATGAAAAAGAACAAATACATCAGCTAAAATCAACACAAATGTACATGCATGGAATGGCATTTTCTTCAATTTTAATGCACAAAATGTAATAAAAGCAGTGCTAATATTTCAAAGGAGTCTTTCTAAAGTAATGAAATAGAAAAGACTGCACAAAGAAGGTCAAACATTACCATTAATCGTCCAAACCTTTAGCTATAATCCTGGTAATTCTCTCATTGAGATCGATACTGCTCGCAGCCTTGGGTTTACAGAAACTGGACTTGGAAAGAAGTGCACATGTTTCCCAGCTGAATGAGAGCCTGCCCTTTGTAGACGTTCTCTCTGTCTCTGTTTCTGTCTGTCTTCCTATCCACCCTCGGACCCCCCTTTTGCTCCTGACTTTTACTGGCCCGCAGCCACACATAATTACCGTGGGCGGAAAGAGAGGCTGATAAGGGGAGCATGAAAACAGTGAAGCAGAAAGTCCATTTTGGTCAAACTAAAAGGAAAATAATAGCAATGAATGCAGTCTTCCTCCAAAGTTTTATAGTTTAAATAGTGGGTTAACATAATCGCACAATTTTTTAAGGAGGTGAAATATCAGCTCAGCAGTCAGATTATACATTATTGAGAAATTTTGACAGCATTTCATCTTCTCTGCTCTATATTCCAACCTCTCTAAGTTCACCAGATCCCACGAAAGAGAGCAGATTATACTGGATGAATAAGGAGTGGACAAGGTGTGAAGGCGCTTCAATGAACAGCTGGAAGACATTAGAAATGCACATGTCTGCAGCTGTTACTGTACTGTATCTGCAGGACCAGCAGATTTGAATTTAATCCTCTTGAACATGTTTTATCACGTTTGGACTCTAAGACAGCCTGTTCTGCCTTATCATATAACAACAACATTAGTGTTTGCGGAATCTTCTAAAGAATCCAAGTAAAGTTAGTGTTCAATGCACATTAACAGTGGGGGATTAGACAGTTCCAAGGAATAAAAAGAAAAAACTACAATGATAACAGAGTCAGAGGAATTTCCAGAATATTGAGCCCTAATTCCCAACATACAATTGGTAAACACCTATCTCCAAATATTATTTCCAGGTCATAGCAGAGAAAAACATTAAAATTATTTTTATTTTAGAAGCAATGTAGGCCTTTCTTTGACCAAACAAGACTGAATACCTGCTTAGACATCACGTTTCTATTATTATGGTCTGTACTGTTTTTCCATCTCTCTGAAATAAACAGATTTTACATATCTGGATTAATAGTGCAAAAGATTTTCCCTCTGTGTGAGCACGGCAGGGATTTCATGATGATGGCCCTGTTGACCCCTGAGCCTCAGCACACTCTGGCGGCTCTCAAAGGCAAATACTGGGCTAGTGTCCTGATCCTGGGAGTGTCCAGCCTGTTTGAGACACCAGACTTTCCAATGCTGAGTAATTTTTCTGTCTTCTAGGGAAGAGGTGCACATGTGAAGGAAGAAAAAGGGCTCATTTCTGCTTAAATAGTTGCTCTGAATTCTGTGGTCAGATCTGGAAATATGACAATTAAGAGACAATTAAGAATGAATTACCACAATAATGACTTTCAGTAAAACCACTGTAATTAAATAAAATGTGTTTTGAACTTGCAATCAATGTATGATGGTAACTTGTAAGAGCTTGCAAATTATGTATATTTAAAAATAAATTAAAGGAAGACATAAAGTAAAAAGCTGTGATCATCTCCCACAACCAATTTTAATGACTACATGAGCAAACACATGTTTTCAAGTGGAATTTTGGCTTTGTATGAGTTCTCCATTTAACTCGCTTCTCAAACTTTAATGGAGAACATTGGATGTTTAGAGGGTAGGAATATTGACAAAGCTGTTTCACAGTGGAAAACACATTTTTTACTGTTTTGAAATCTAAAAACTCAGACACTCAAGTAACTCTACATTTCAAAGTTTACTGCACTTCTTGAGTCTTTGCTTCTAAGAACCTAAAAAATGAAAAATTAATATCATATTATATTACATTTGTTTTTGTGTTGTGACTGTGTGTGTGGCTTTGTATTTGTGACCTTATGGGGACAATTTTCCAGGAATATGCCACATTGTGGGGACTTGTGGGGACCAGTGGACTGGTTTCCATGAGAAGATGTTCCCTTCTTGGGTTGGGGGTATCAAACTCTAATCCTTGAGGACCAGTGTGCTGAAACATTAAGATTTGTATCTGATTCTCCACACCTGAATTCAGTATGAGCTCTTTAGCAGAGCTTGCTGCTGGTGAGGCAGTTCTAAGCTACAGTGTATAGTTTCCAGTGACATTTAATGGTCTACAGTGACATGAAGCACTCCCCCCACCACTTCTCCCCCTCCGAAAAAACTGAGGCTATCATGGTACAAAATATTTTCCGCATTTTCTGCTTTAGTTACCTTGAGAAGTGATGACGAGGTTTATTTATATCAGATTACGGCATCAACTCAAGTCATCAAGTACATTGACAAGTATACAAATTTGGAGATCAAAAAGTAACATTAATAAGCTACTGTTTTATTGAAAGAGGCCGCAGAGACAGGCTTTTGTTAAATTAAAATGGAAGACAAAGAAAATAATATGGAGAAAGGATAAAGCAGGGAATAATCTTAAGAGGTTTGTGAGTGGCTTTTAAAAAGGCCATTTTAATTTAGCCCTAGAAAGACTGTTTCTGGCGTAAAAGAAAATAATTACCTAAAAGCTTCAGAATAATCGCCCTTGAGGATCTGAGTTCGAAACCCCTGGATTAAGGTGTGAATTGAGTTTAGATTAAGTTAAGGGTTAGGTATGTGATGGTGATGGCTAGGCCTAGGTTTATGGGTTAGGGTTAGGCCATACAAATGCGTAGCAAATTATTGGAAGTAAATGGAAAGTGTTCGTAAGGATAGCAGGACACTGACACATACACCCACACATATCTGACTGTGTGTGTCTTTCATAAGTAAGAGGGGCAGGGTGGAGGTTCCAATATAAAGTTTTGCATAGGTATAGAGAAACTAGACTGTTGCCTGTTGCCTTTACTGGTAATTGATGTTCTTCAAATTACAATGAAACCTGTGAAAAGTCGAGTCCCACAATCAAAAATGTATTTTTCTGTGTTGGATATCATAAGATATTAAGCAGAGGATTATTAGATATTCTTCTACCAAAACTTACAATTCACCTAATACCATCACAATTTTGATACTTAAAAATGGAAACTGTTTATTCTGTCAATAAACAAGCAAAAAATATTCAGCTTGCATTATTTAACACCAAATCCATATGGTTAAACCCTGAAATCCAGAAATCAATTCATTTCAATGTTTGACGCAATCACTTTGCTCATGTAATCAGATGATATTTCATTTATGAATATGTCGAACCAAATTTGAATTTCCCTTCAGTTAACTCTGCAAATCTTTTATGGGACAACAACTTCAGCAATGAACCCTTGCTTTGTTGCCAACAGAAATGAGAAAAGGTTCTACAGCACATTCTGGAAATTCAAAGAACTTTGTAATGTTTCAACTATAAAATCTGTTTTTCATAGACTGACACAGCCAGTTGGCATAATCAAGCAAAAAGAGTCTGGAGCAAATACAACAAACGCAAAGTTTCTGGTCATGGTATACCTACTTCTGGGGTTTGTGCTGTATTCAGCTGTGACCTGTGTTTTTTTGCCAAACATACTTCCCTAAATCTAAAATTGCCACCGCAGAATTTCACGGCGGGGGACATGCTTAGTTGTTTAGAAATAAAACCCTCATTTTGCTTATGCTGCTGGAGACTTCTGGATGTGGCATAATGTGTAGGTTTGCTCCCATCTGTCAGGGGTATACTATCTAGCAATTTTCCCCGTACAGTGGTAAAGGAATAGTGTCAGACTTCTGAGTGGACTTGGAATACTCTACAGTAATTAAGCACATGCCTCAACATACGTGTCTATTTTTTAGGTATAGCTTGACATTTACACACAAATAATAAGCCAGAAAGGCCCAAAAATATGGATAACTTCTATATATACTGTTGAGTGGATATATGGCATACTGCTACAGAAGAGGAATGAATGCTAAAATCCTTTCTAAACATGAACAAAGTTTGAGCTGAGGATGTGCAGACTCGCAGTCCTATAACTGATTTTTTACATATGTCCCTTTGACAGATCTGTAAGTATTTAGTTAAACCTCATGAGATTTATTTTGTGTTATATATAAAATATGTTTTATTGGATTTATCCTAAACTTAATTTCATTGTCTTAAATACATGGAACTTTTAGAGTATAACATTCATTTTAAAATAATAAAAAGCAATACATATTAATGCAACAGCAACGTCATTTTTTGGCCCAGATACCGACACCCGATGCACCTGGCTGTGCAGTATTGGCCGATATCAATACCATACCGATACCATCTGTTTAAAACTTCTGTGTGTGTGTGTGTGTATATATATATATATATGAAGAACTGCATACTACTTGGATGTAAAATAATTGCCATCATGGCTTTGTTAAGCTGCTGTCTACCTTAGTGAAGCAGGAAAATGGGTGACAATGGTTCCTAGAGCTGTTGTTGCGCCTCACGTACAATGTAACAACTGTAACTATCAATAATGCTACCTCACGTGCAATAACCTGTACCCGCTACCTCCGTAGAGCCTGCAGTATCCCTTTTTAAACTTTTTTTCATATTTGTTTATTTATTTAATTTAATTTTTTTATTTCATATTTTTAAATTTGCACTAATTGCTTGTACTGTTTTTTCTTTTTCAAGTAATTTCGTTGCACCCCTGTGGAGCAATGAAAAATAAAGAATTCTGATTTTGATTCTGATTCTGAATAAACTTTTGGCTCTCAAAATGGTATCATTTTGTAATGCACATAACTCTCAGTGCTATGTTTCTGTTGCAGAGTTTTCGGGTGCAATGTGGTGAATGTGTGCATCTGTCATCTATCTGTACTGTATACAAAAAAAGCACAGCAATGTGGTGAATGTTAGAATCTGATCATCGATCAAATACATATTTGCAGACATAATAAGTGAAGCTTGCGCAAGAGATGAGATACAAGTGAATAGCAAAAAAATAAAAGAAAAAAAATCTCTGATCTTCTTCCCCCGAACCCCTTCCCAAAAGCAAAGTCAGAGCAGAGACCTGTCGCACCTCTCTTGCTCATCATTTCATGGCATCTGTTTGATGAACATATGAATCTGATTATTTATCTAATATGAATCAATGCTGCAGCAAGACAGGAGCAGCAGGTTGAGTGCCAGAAAAATCAGTTATCAATCATCACCATTCCTGTAACAGATGTGGCAACACTGATGACGTGGTTATATTCA